AGACAAATACGTGTTCGCTATTTTGAGTGTTATGACGCAGTCAATATCTGCGTCGTCATTCTGTGCTGTCTTCAAATTTATAGATGCTTGGTTTAAACTAACATCCGCTCGAGTAATCTCAGGAGGAAAGAGCAAAGGTGTTTGAAACTGTTCGACCTGTACTTTTGCTCCACAAACTGTCGCTTGGAAAGCGTCGCGATTAACCTCTTCACTGCATGTTTTCATATAATCGTCAATATTCATAGGCATTCTGGACAATGCATTGGCGTCTCCATTGAGTTTTCCTGGACGATAACGGATGTTGAACTTAAAATCGGCCAGTTCTCCAATCCATCTTAAGCCTGTGGCATTAAGTCGTGCAGATGTTAAAACGTATGTTAATGGATTGTTATCGGTATAAACCGTAAATTCAGGTGCGTAATATAAATAATCACGGAAGTGGTCAGTGATTGCCCATTTGAGTGCCAAAAATTCTAATTTTCCTGCATGGAGGTGATAGTTCTTTTCTGCATTTGTTAGACTCCGAGAGGCGTACGCAATGACTCGCATTGTCTCTTCCTGTTCCTGGTATAAGACAGCACCTAGACCGTCTTTGCAGGCATCAGTGTGCACGATGTAGGGCTTTTGGTAATCTGGATATGCCATAACCGGAGGTGTTATCAGATGGTCAATGAATTTCTCTAACACAGTCTGATGTATCTCAGTCCACGCGATTTTGAATGATGATGGCACGTGACCTTTCTTTCTGGTGTTTTTGTTACCTTTCTCTTAATCATGACACAGGTCTGTTGTTGCTGCTTGTGTAACAAGGTCGTATAATGGTTTAGCCTTTCGCGCGAAATTGGGTACATAACGACGATAGTAACTGAGTAATCCAAGCATTTTCCGAAGATCTCCTATTGTATGAGGAGTATTGTTCTTTAGACTCGCAACTGCGTTAATGTTCTCGGGATCCATTCTGTAGCCATCTTTCGACACTACTCGACCGAGGAATGTGACTTCACGTTTGAACAATTTACATTTTCTTTGCTTTAATTTGACACCGTGCTCTCTTAGGCGACGTAAAACTGTTCGTAAGTGTTCGACATGTTCGTCGAATATTCTACTAAATACGATCACATCATCCAAATAAGGAATGGCAATTTCATCACATAATTCTCCTAAACACTGTTCCATGAACCTCTGAAAACTTGCTGGGGCGTTCATAAGACCGAATGGAATTCTTACCCATTCATATAACCCCCAGGGTGTCACAAATGCTGTTAACGGTCGGCAGGATGGTTTCACAAATCCTTGATGATACGCCTTCCTGATCCAATACACTAAACCAAGCGTTACCACCTAAACTATCGAGAGTTTCTTGGACGCGCGGAATAGGATGCCTATCTGGCACTGTCTTACGGTTAAGTTCTCTATAATCGACACAAAGTCGCAGAGTTCCATCCTTTTTGCGAATACATACTACTGGGGATGAATAAGCTGATTTTGACTCTCTTATAAACTCATTATTTAATAAATCTTCAATATACTGTTTCACTTCCGGGTAGAGAGGTCTTGGTACCGATACATAGTTCTTTTGTACAGGCTCGTTTGTTGTCAAATTTATTTCTAGTTCTAGATCTTTGATATAACCGATATCCTCATCTTTTCTTGCAAAAGAGCGACATTCTTCCTTCAACATGTTAGTAACCACTTGACGTTGACGTTCTGTTAATCCACTAAGGTCAACTTCAGGTAAAAACTGGTCATCATGTGTATTGTCTCTTTCTCGAGTTCCTTTCGCCATTGCATTCACTTGGGATTGTGTGGCTGTTACTGTTCGTTCTTTCTTTTCGACTTTTCTGCCAACTTCACTTCTACAGGTGTAATCGATTTAATTAACTGAAGACTTCCTAATACTGTGTGTTTACGCACGACAATGTCATGATTAGTTGTATTAGTCACATCTATCTTTACTTGAGACGTTGAGCCTTGTTTCACTGTTGTTACCGTTTCGTGCACCGATAAACCGTCTGGCCAGGGCGTTAATTCGTCCGGTTCAAACAATACAAGTGTAGTTTCTTCTACCAGTCAAGTATTCGCTCGACAGTTAACTTTAAATGTTTTCTTTGCCGGAATAACAAAGTCTTTCTTTGGGCTCTTAATCGTGCATAGTTCATTTGCTCTTGCTGTCTGTATCAGTCTAACCAATTCGAGTAACACTTTCTCATCAAAACCTTGAAAACTAGCTTGTACTGTAGCAATATGCGCTGACTGAATATCAGATGTATTCATCGGCTTGATTAGTTCTTCAATAACATTGTATCCAAGCAAGAATGGGATATTCTAAACTGCCGTTTGTTACTAAAAAAGGAACCATAACCGATGGATCCTTTTCTTTTGATGAAATCAGTCTAACTTCTATCTCAGTCCAACCACTATAGTCAATTCGTGTACCATTAGCTGCCGTTAAATCCAATTCACCAATTATTAATTCCGAAATGTTCTTTATAACATTTTTAGGAAAGTGTTTTTCCATCATTTCTTTGGACACGATAGATACTTGTCCACCCGTATCCCATAATACTGTTGACTCAAATTCATTTAGAGAACACTTTACAGTGCACCGTCTTCCTACTAGCTTAGCAATCTTTGCATGTTCACTAGGAGTTAGATGACTGGTAAATGTCTTATTATTGCTGCGTGTTTTGTTTTGACATGCCCATGTCAGGTCCCGAAGAGTTTTACAATTGTTCCTATGATCATTCCAGTGTCTTTTCTGGCAATTTTTTGAACAATAAACTATACATTTGCATTGTGCACAACAATACAATGTCATTTGATCATCATCCTTGCCACAATAACTACATCTTTGGGACCGCAAACTTCTTCCGGCTACTTCTGGCCCGGGAGAGGCAGCCTCCTGGAGTTTAAAGTATTCTTTCTACGATTCTGTCGACATCCAATTGCAAAATGATTGTCACTTCCACAAATGAAACAATGAGAGCATTTGTCATTTCCACTAGTTTGGCACTGCAAGCATTTTGGCGGCGTATTTCTTCTCTGGTTTCTAGTGTCTACTGGCGCAGGCGAATTTGGTAATCGAGCTTGTTCAGTTTATAAATATCTTAAAATAACAATGTTTTTTCGCTACTCTGAGTTTCACGATCTTGTCTGATCGATCTTCAGGCCATTTATCTCCGTTTAGTTAGTTGGTTTGATTTCGTGATTTTCGTTGACGCACGCGCTTGCGATGAAAATTTCCAGCTTGGAACCGATCTTTCTGGCGACAGTTTCCACAGATTTCCGATCGTTTATTAAGTAAAGTTTTCTGGTCTGCTTTCATAATGGATAGTTTCTCCTCGTTACACAAATTACATCGCGTGCTACCGGGCGCGTAGGATGTTGAATGTTTCAGAATAGACCAATTGATGGCAAAAGCCTTCCCTTTAAATTTAAGTTCCCATATATACTTCGACAGTTCAGGTTCTTTCTCATACCGAATAAGATTAAAAGATTTCTTATGGTTGCGGTATCTTTCTTTAAATGAATTTGCTGTCATGCCTATGTATTCCTTCTTCAAACCGTCATCCAGGGATGTTACAACTGCTTTGTATACGATACTCTCAGCTTGGGATTTGTTATCCAGGGGACATTCATCCTGATTTCTAAAGTTACACGATGTTGCAGGTTTTGTAGCTTCGCTTCTTCCTAAGATTTTCCGATTGTGCCGTGAAATAACATTCTTAACATTTGGCATATACAACTGTAACTAACTTTGATCGTGTTTCTGTTGAATATTTTGTGAAGTGGATTTGTGGGAGGAAAATGTTTGTCAATAAGTTGCAGAAATCTTCCTCCAACGTTTGTCTTAACTGATTTACTGTATGGGGGATTGAACCATATAACGTTTCTATGTCTCTTTCGTTTTGGTGTTGTAGATGCGTTTAGATCTGGGAGGTTATAGTGTAAGGTTTTCTTAAAGTTGCTTTGCTTCAAGGCTTCTTCGTAAAAAGGCTTTGACTGGTCATACGCCATTTGGTCGGATGAAAGAGATGATATACGCGTGTTTATTGATTTCGGTATAATATGCTTTATTTCCTTTCACCAAAGCCAAGCCATCATCCCGATACAAACCCACACGATTCTTGCCAAAAATTGCCGAGATCTTATTCAATATAGACCAACCAATAAATCGCCTGAAGATCGATCAGACAAGATCGTGAAACTCAGAGTAGCGAAAAAACATTGTTATTTTAAGATATTTATAACGTTAATTACATAGCTCTGCTGTACTGTTTATAGTATTGAGCACTCTTTTTAGTCTTTCAACGAAAAATAACTTGTTTATATTACACACCTGATTATCAGTTGTGCACTCCTCTATTCGTTTGGAAACTCGGATATTTTAAAATGCAACAAGTCCGGTTTAATTACTCGATGAAAAATATTGGAATACCATCAAGAAGCCAATATCAAAGATGTTTGATTGAGAAGACCGAAAGTGTGGTGCATCGTATGAGATAGAAAGCGCATTTTTATCTTAACGACGACGGCTCTCGTACAGAAAATGCGAAGTTTGGTTTGCCTTCGAAAAAATGTGGGCCACCGATTAAAGAATTAAAAGCTCTCGAAGATTTTTTGAGAAAGATATGAAACGTGTGAACAATTCTGAAAATATTTATCTTTTTGTGGACAAAACGGGTAACATTTATGAAACTGATCCTAGTTTATATAATAAACTTCTCGCGGAAAACATAACGAAATCATATAAAGTCAACAATGATAACATTTCAGAAGAGATTCATGAAGAACTTCGCGATATTTGCCACAAACTTGAGATTGGTAATCGTGTTGAGACGATGGCTAAGCGTGATGCTCTGTAAAAGATCACAAAGACAATTTTCCAGCTAATGTGAAATGTCGTTTAATCAATCCAGCTAAAAGTGATCTTGGAAAAGTTAGTAAAATTATTCTGGACAATATAAACAATGAAATAAGATCTATTACGAAAGTTAATCAATGGAAAAATACGAAGTCGGTAACAGACTGGTTCAAAAGCATTGAAGGAAAGTCGAAGTATACATTTCTATCCCTTGATATCGTTGACTTTTATCCATCTATCAAGAAAGATCTTCTGGATGCTACATTTCAATGGGCACGTACGATGATCGATATTAGCGATGATGAAATCAAAATAATCAAGCACGCACGTAAATCGCTTTTGTTTAGTGTCGATAAACTATGGACTAAATCAAGTAGTGAATCGTTGTTTGATGTAGCAATGGGTAGTTATGATGGAGCGGAGATATGCGAATTGGTTGGTCTATATATATTGAATAAGATCTCGGCAATTTTTGGCAGGAATCGTGTGGGTTTGTATCGGGATGATGGCTTGGCTTTGGTGAAAGGAAATTCAACTCGGAACGCTGATATGGCAAGGAAATTGTTAAACGAAACATTCCATCAGTTTGGACTAAAGATAACATGTGAAGTAAGTCATCATCTTGCAAATTTCTTAGATGTTACTTTAGACTTGAATTCCAATCGATTCGTGCCATACAGAAAACCCCTCAACACCACGAAATATGTAGACAGTCGTTCCAACCACCCTCCCTCGATAATAAAGCATATACCGAAATCAATAAACACGCGTATATCATCCCTTTCATCCGACCAAAAGGCGTATGACCAGTCAAAACCTTTTTACGAAGAAGCCTTGAAGAAAAGCAACTTTAAGGAAACCTTGCACTATAACCCCCCAGATCTAAACGCATCTGCAACACCGAAACGAAAGAGACATAGAAACGTTATATGGTTCAATCCCCCATACAGTAAATCAGTTAAGACAAACGTTGGAGGAAGATTTCTGCAACTTATTGACAAACATTTTCCTCCCACAAATCCACTTCACAAAATATTCAACAGAAACACGATCAAAGTTAGTTACAGTTGCATGCCAAATGTTAAGAATGTTATTTCACGGCACAATCGGAAAATCTTAGGAAGAAGCGAAGCTACAAAACCTGAAACACCATGTAACTGTATAAATCAGGATGAATGTCCCCTGGATAACAAATGCCTGCAAGCTGAGAGTATCGTATACAAAGCAGTTGTAACATCCCTGGATGACGGTTTGAAGAAGGAATATATAGGCATGACAGCAAATTCATTTAAAGAAAGATACCGCAACCATAAGAAATCTTTTAATCTTATTCGGTATGAGAAAGAAACTGAACTGTCGAAGTATATATGGGAACTTAAATTTAAAGGGAAGGCTTTTGCCATCAATTGGTCTATTCTGAAACATTCAACACCCTACGCGTCCGGTAGCACGCGATGTAATCTGTGTAACGAGGAGAAACTATCCATTATGAAAGCAGACCAGAAAACGTTACTTAATAAACGATCGGAAATCTTCGGAAAATGTCGCCATAAAGATCGGTTCCAAGCTGGAAGTTTTCAGCGCGTGCGTCAACGAAAATCACGAAATCAAACAAACTAATTAAACGGACATAAATCGCCTGAAGATCGATCAGACAAGATCGTGAAACTCAGAGTAGCGAAAAAAAATGTTATTTTAAGATATTTGTAACGTTAATTATATATATATATATATATATAGCTTAAGATTTTGGTTTACGAAACACAAACAGTGCTCAATACCATATAGATAGAGCGTAATATAGTTTTTCGTTTTACCTCAAAAAACCACTTTTTGAGGTAAAACGAAAAACTAATATATATATATATATATATATATATATATATATATATATATATATATATATATATATATATATATATATATATATATATATATATATATATCTATCTATATATATATATATATATATATATATATATATCTATCTATATATCTACCGGGTGGCCCAAAAAAAAGTACTCCTGTTTGATTCGTAATAACTTCTAAACAAGTAAAGTTTTTAAAGAGAAATAACTTGCATTAAATAGAGGAAGGACTAACTTAGATTTTGATATATTATAGTTGTATTTAACTTAAAAATTCACGGAGATATTAATGTTAAAAATGGGGAGCATATTTTGGAATGTGTCTAAAATTAGCGAAAATCGGCATATCAAATATTAACTCCAGCGTTTGTTTGTTTAATGACATATTAGGCTAACTTGTATTTCAGCGAATTATCGTTAAGGTTTGTAAGGGATATGGCGTAGATTTAGACATCTTACATGTAAGTCTTAGCTCATTGTTTCCTGAAATATGAACGTTCGAAATTATGCAAGCATTTAATATTAGGTCTTTGCAAACTTAAATGTACATGAAAGACTGACCATGGAAGGCAGGCGCTTAAATTTTTCGTATTCTTAAATACGGTAGCCTAATTTTTTTATGTTTTTAATGGGTTCAAACAGACTGAGTAGATTATTTCTCGGTTAGAGCAGGATGAATATTCTTTATTGAAGGAAATAATATTGCTTTTTGCAAATACACATCACCGTATCAACGCTACTATTTTGTTACGTTTTGTTCCAAAAATGTTGCATGTCTCTGGGGAGTTGCTTAATTGTTATGTCTTATGGAGTTGTATGGTTTGATTGTGTTTCATATAATTCTCAGTTTACTCCATGAACTTGCCAAGATTAAGAAACGTCAAAAGAGTTTGGGTGTTCTTAACAAGATTTCAGAACGTTGCAGAAGTTAGAAGAGCTTCACAATTCCGTTGTGACAGCATGCCCTAATTCAGAACTACGAACGATCCAATGACGATCCTTCGCGATGCAGTGGTCTCATGAAATAAGGAAACGTATTCGTGCTAGGAACACACGCGAATTTCGGACGAATGAATCTTGCTTGTATTTTGTAGATATAATAATACTTTGTTTCATAATAAACAATTTGTCAAGTGTCATTTATTTACTGGTAATAGTGCATGTTTCAGTCGGGCAAATCTTGATTAATATTTGATACGCCGATTTTTGCATATTTCAGACACATCCAGAAATATCCTCCCGAATTTAAAGATTAATATCTCCGTGAATTTTTAAGTGAAATACAACTGTAATATATGAAAGTCTAAGTTAGTCCTTCCTCTATTTGATGCAAGTTATTTCTCTTTAAAAGCTATACTTGTTTAGATGTTATTACGAATCAAACAGGAGTACTTTTTTTTGGGCCACCCGGTATATATATAGCGTGTCATCCAAAATGGCAAGGTACGAACGGGACTGTAGAATTTGGACCCATGCAAGGCACCTACCAGCGAAGTTGCATATTATAAAAAAAAATCAAATATTAATATATATGTTACCAAAATTACTATGAAGGAGTGGATGAGAGAGAAGAAAGAAATGAAAGAAGGAAGAGGTGTACAAAGAGAGGTGTGCATGCGCACACATACACCACACGCGCTCATAAACTTAAGTCCTATGGCAGGGACAGTCCCGGACCAAAGACCAGGTACAGGGTAATTCAACATCGTAGACTGTGTGAACAAGATGAGAGTATTTAAGTTTGAGAAAGTTTCTAAAAGAGATGGGGCTGGAATTTGTTTCAGGATTAACCTCTTTACATACAATATTCCATGGTTTAACTATACGGTTATAATACGATGATTTAAAATTTAATGTAGTGGTATTACACAAGGGTGTTTGGAGGATAACACTAGAGATCTGACTGAGCTAGTCTAGTACAGCCATGATCAACAAAAGAAAGATAATCGTAAATGTCAAGGTTAATATAACCGTACAACGCTTTGAAGAAGAAAACAAGGTACTTGACTTCTCTGTCGTAACAAAGAGGTAAAAGTTCTAATGTCAGCAGTCGTTGTGTGCAAGACATCTCGCCAGTCTTGGTTTTTAAAATCCATTTAGTGGCTCTCCTTTGAACACTCTCGATTTTTTCACTCAACTCCATGTTGGGAAATGGAGACCATACTTGCGTTGCGTAACATAACTTCGATTTTACGATGGAAAGGTAAAGAGTACGCCTGACTTTGGTATCCGTTAAAGATAGACAAGTTCGTTTGGGCAAACCAAGTAGTTTGTTGCCTTTCGATATTAATTCATTCACTTGCGAGTCCCGCAATAGTTTACTGGACAGAGTGACTCCGAGATCTTTCTCCTCCTCAACTTTCGGCAACTGTTCCGAACCTAGGCAGTAAACATAGGAAATTGGGGTTTTCTTGCGCGTGACGGATAAAACTTTGTATTTTAATGCGTTGAATTTGATGTTGTTGTCGCTACTCCAAACATCTAGGTTGGTTAAAGCTTGCTGCAGCTGGTCACAATCACTAACCGATATAATTGTTCTATAAACCTTTGTGTCATCTGCGAATAAGGCCGACATTGTTCCATTTTCTACCACTTTGGGAACATCATTAATGAAGATGACAAACAGCATTGGTCCTAGGATACTACCTTGAGGCACTCCAGACGTAACAGGTGTCCATTGTGATGCGACGCCATCTACTACAACTCTTTGTCGACGATTATTTATATAATCAGAGAACCAATCAAGAA